ACAAAGAGACGCCTAGCCGATAGAATCACGGAGCATCTGCGTTCCATACGCCTGAAGACAGCCGGACTACCTGTAGCTCACCACTTCAACATCGGAGATCATAATGCTGATGACCTTCAAGTATGTGTGCTGAAATCTTGCTGAGATGAGAAAGAAAGGAAGCTGATGGAGGAGAGGATAATCTTCAAACTTGGCACTCTCCACCCGGACGGGATGAACGCCACTTTCAGATCTTTCCCTAACTCACACTGAACTTTGTTGAACTTTAATATCTTTATTACGTCATAATGCTTTTTCAATTGCTTATTTTTCTTTCTGTGCGCTTCTTCTTTTCCTTTTCTTTTGCTTTCCGCGTATCTCCCCTGGAGATACGCTCTTCTAACGCTCCCTATATTTCTAATTTTCTCCTATTTTCTCACGTCACAATGGTCCAACTTTTGAGCTTTGTGACGTTTCTCTATCTCTTTTTCTCTTCTTTCGCGTACTCTCACGCGCCTTTGCATCTTGACTACCAAGCGTCGCCTATATATTTTTGATTTTGTATATTGTTGTTCATGCTTGAATCACTTCGATAAAGGGCTATGCCCGAAACGTCAGTGGAATATTCACTTCTCCGTTGTTTTTATTTATCTACCTTGTGTCCTATATATATATATATATATATATATATGTATATATATATATATATATGTTTTGAATGCTTTTTTATATAATTGTATGTATGATGTAAATTCGCATTTTCAGTCTTTGGACTTTTTGACGAGATTGAATGAAACCTAATTTGAAATTGAATTGAATTGAATTGAATGACAAGAACCCAAAATGAAGGTGAATTATGGAGCAAGAGCATGGCCATGCAAAAGTTAGCTACAAAATTTGAATGAACAGAGTCCAATATATGTACATGTACTGGATCTAGAGTGAACTGATAATTGTATGTTCCTAATTTTTTGAAGACAGAAGATGGTTTTGTTGGCATATTCAAAAATAAAAGTTGAAACCCAGCTTTCTCTTGTGCAAAATTATGTAGGGGGTATAAATTTAACGAGAAATGAGACATAAAGCCGGAGGTCCCGTGGAGAGCCATGCCTCATAAATGTTAAAGATCCTAGTCTAACCAAGATTAGACTAGCCAAAATGCCGGCACCAAATTCATGCGAGAGGTGTGGCGAGCCCTTGTGCTAAATGATTTGGCAAAAGAAAGCAACTATGCTCCTGAGTTCAGTTCAGACAAGCTCTGAAAATCATCACAGTCACACAGTATTTGAAATGTCCTTCTAAAGGTAGCTACCAACAAGATGTCGCAAGTACCTAGCAGAATTCCTCAACCAGCCAACAAAACAAACTGAAATTGAGGAGCAGGCCTTTGATTCAATTGACATTCCATTGCAAGACTTCACAACATTGCAGGCTACTGCCTCAACAAGTGAAGAAGAAGAAGCTGTACTCAGAATGCAACAATGCAGTTGAGGTCATTCACCAGAACTAAAGGATACATCCTCAGCTGATATTAAGCATTTACCCTTACAGAAACACAAAGTTATTTTCTACTTCTTAATCAATTGTTGTATCATTGCAGGAAGAAGTCTGTATGGACGGGTGCCATGGAGTTGGCACTTCTCAAAGAACTTGTCAGCCAAAACCCATTCCTGTACAGACATGGATCAACAGAGCAAGGTAAAGTGTGGGATCAGATCTAGCCCATGGTTTCTCATCCTTAAAACAGGAAAGACACAGTTATGCCCTCACTCAAAGAACTGTAAGGGACAAACACAAGGCCTTAGTGACACGGCACAGGGTGAATGCAAACAAGGAGAGGGCTGCATCAGGCATAAGCCCCGAGGAGACAGATCTAACAAAGGAAATAAGAGAACTTATTGAACAGCTCCAAGAACTAGAATTGGATGGTGACAACATCCAACCTCATAAGAGAGAGGAAGAAGAAAAGAAGAAAAAAGATGGCATAGAAATGCAGAAAGTGATGCTGGAAAGGTTTTCAGAGACAAAAAAGGGTAAAATTACATGTAGCTACTAATAATGGTTAGCAGCATCTCTTTTTAATTGAAGTTGTATGGGGAGGTAAAGGGTTATCATTCTTCTTCTAAAGAAAATGTTTTTGCTTATCATTCATGCGTTTAGGTAATATCATGATGTATTCATGTTGTATGAATAAATGTACCTATCTATTGCCGGTCAAATAAGAAATGTTATGTAAAACTTGTTTTCAAACTGGTCCTTAAAATGAAACAAACAATCATATAAAGAGACAAAAAAAAAAGATTCCTATTCTGTTTGTTCCTATTGCTTTTTCATTCCATCGCAATTACATTCATAATACTCACTAACAGCAGCTTTGATTTCTACAAAAGTCTTGAGCCAGCAATAGAGTGCTTTAAGTTGTAAGTTCCTGAACTTAACTACTAAGATATCTACCCCTAAAGTGAAGGCATGTATGTCTCTGATTATTACATTGCCTACTGGATGGATCTAATATTATTAAGCCAAGGGAAATTAGAGAATTCGGAAGTCAATCGGTTAACTATAATTATACCTATCAATAGCTAAGGGCAGAATGATTTTTGTGGCCAGTCATTAGTTCATGTTAACAAACCTGCCAGGGGTGGCAAACTCTTTGAACCAAGATCTCGTAAGTGCATGCTGTGTACTGTACTGTGTCTGTAGCCGTGGGCCTGGGCGTGGGGTCTAAAAACAAGACCTATGATTATTTTAATGATCATGATGGGGAGCCCTATGTCTGCTCACCTAAGATTTGACCTGAAATTGAACAAGAATTTCTTTAATATTCCTCTAATGCTTAATCTTATATTACAAATGACGCTCTGCCTAAATTGCAGAAGAAGAATGAAAACTTGGAATGATAATGGCTCTTGAGCTTCATGATCCTAAAATGAACTTGCTCATATATGGAATTGAGGAAAAAAAGATGAGAGAGAGTAGTTAAAATTTGTCAGAAACACAATTAAAAAATTTGGGTTTCACAAAAGAGGAGTCTGAGAGAATGTTTATTGCAAATGCCCATTGGCTACCTAGTTGTCGCATAACGCAGGGGAACGGGCGTGGTCATGACCCAATCATTGTTCGTTTTGGAGCCATGATGGATAGAGATTCGAGTGTGCAAAAATCTCATCAAAATTAGAGCAAGAACAATGCCATTTCACAAGAAACAAAAAATGAAATAATCTGTGACAAGTTGTATACAGTTTTATTCAATGGCTGGAAAAATCTGTAGATATTTATTTTATACTACTGTATTTTTATTGCATGCTTGGAATAGATTTCGAACACATCTTTGTTAAATTTCAATATATTTTGTGCATTTTTATTTTATACTACTGTATTTTTATTGCATGCTTGGAATAGATTTCGAACACATCTTTGTTAAATTTCAATATATTTTGTGCGTTTTCCAGGTGATTCAGTGGATAAACCTCCTACAGTGGAGAACATGGAAAAGCGAACACCGCAGCAGCTTCAAGCCTCAAGCCGACTATCTGTTACAGCAGTCAGATGGAACAAGCGTTGTTGAGAGTGCTTACTGCAAATGCACAAAGTTTAAGAAAAAAATCAGCAAGCTTAAGAGGAAACTGGCGAGGGAGCGTAGAGAGAAATGGAAACTTCAACAGAAGAAAACTAACTTTGAAGTTAATGTGGCAAAAGTTTTCAATGGAGATCAATTGGTCAAACTTGGCCAAACGGACACCGGAGGTTCAAAGTGGTCAAATGACACAGTGAGAAAAGCACTCCAGCTAAGCTTTACTTGTGGAGCAACTGGCTAGGAGTTGTTGCTGGTGCAGAATCAGCCCTTGCATTTGATGCCATCTCTTCAGAGAAGGCTCTTCGGAGCGATCTCCATGGAACCTGACATTCTCTTTGAAGTCTTCAGCTTCTTGAAATTGAAAGTAGCGTCTATGCTATAGAATTTTACTCAAGTTGGACTTTTTTTGCTTCTAAACATTTGTCATTTGGATAATATCGGATTATAGACTACTGAGAATGATGGATTTACATCATTGTAACTATTTAGGCTTCAACGATCATCATGAGTGATGCGCGGGAGCACCTGAGGTTTCAACTTCTTACCGATGAAGAATTGAATAATATGCTGGATAATGCTGACAGTGCTAATACTAGAAGACAATTCAAATATGCTTCAAAGGTTTTAACAGATTTTCTGAACATATTGACAATTTGGGACAAGATATTAAACTTCTCGACAGTCTTCTTTGTAAATTCTATGCCGGAGGAAGAAATCGAAATGGAGATCTATATACAAAGAATTCAATGCGAGCATTCAGATACGGCCTTCAGAGGAATTTCTTGTCATCACATGAATTTGAAATTGTTAAAGACAAAGCTTTCTCAAAGTCTAAACGAGAATTCAAATCAGTTATTTCATAACTGAAATCTGAGGGTAAAGCAAATGTAAAACATGACACACCAGTTGGTACAGCTGACATGAAGTTGAATTAAGAAAGTCATGATATGTTATGTGTTGACAAGTTCATCGTTCTTTCAGATTTTTACCAGTTTTATTGACTTATTAACTGAATTAAAACGTTCACGGTTTTGAGCAATGTTTGTTGCCGAAATCATTCGGCATTATTGGAAGCTAATTATAAGTATTGACGTGGACTATAGACAGTGGAAAGATAACAAGTGAGGTAAGTTCAATATTCATTTCAATCAATAAATTGTTAGATTTTTATGGCTATACTATGCTGCTGACATAAAGAGTCTAGACCTATTAATGCATTATCTATATAGCGCTGCGGCGTGGCGCAAGTCAACATAAAAACTAGGATCATAGGGGCGTACGATAGTACGAAAGCAATCCATAGAAACACTACCGATACTGTCTGCAGAGTCAGAATGCCGCGAGTGAAAACCTAGTTGTCTTTTTATTATGTAAAATTCACTTAAAGTAGACCTTATTGCCGATGTGGGATATAAAACAAATATTAACCTCCTTTACTCGGGCAATGGATACAAACTATCATCGCCTCGGTGATCTCGGGGCTACTATCATCCCTCGCCGTTACAGTGACACTTTCTGGATCATGATCAGGGATTTGATATTACTGACTAGGGCGAATTCCCGAGAAGTAACAAGGTCTTCAAAGCTGTGCTGGTCAAGTTGAAGAAAGACGGGAGAGGAAATGTGAAGCACAAGGATGTCATCCGGTATCAGACATGCAGAAGACTAGGCAAGCAGCGAGTTGGACTGCAGCACTCCAGCTGGTCTGCAAAATAAGGTTTTTGTAGACATCATGACCTTTTTCTGTAATCAGGGATGGGAGAACATCCGATCAATGAAGCCCTCCCATTTCACGGTTACAACTGATGAAAATGGACGTCGGTATATGTCAAAGAGAGATTGTCTGACAAAGAATAACAGGGAAGATGAAGATGACTCGTCAAACTGTGGGTTAATGTACGAGATGCCCATGAATGACAAATGCCCTGTAAAGTCGTACTTGATGTACGTCTCAAAGTTGAACTCAAAGTGCACTTTTCTGTGGCAGAAACCTAAGAGTAAAGCCCCACAACAAGATGGAGCCCCAGGGTACGATAGCAGTCCTGTTGGTGTAAATACCATTGCCAACAAGGTGAAGGAGATTTCCAAGAAGGCAGGGTGCAAGCAGACGTACACCAACCATCATTTGAGAGCTATATGCATCTCATCTCTCGACGGTGCAGGATTTGAAACACGAGATATCATGAGGATGAGTGGTCATCGCAGTGCGAGTTCGCTGAAACACTACAGCACGACAAGTGAGAAAAGAAAGAGAGGGATGAGCGGTCAGCTGTCATAGCAGCTATGTTACAAGTCACCGTCCTCAAACTCAAAGTCTAGGTGTAGCTCTAAATCCTCCCACTACTACTACTAGTCCTAGTTCTACAAGTGGGCGCAGCCTTGCAGTTCACAATCTTACTCACAGTCCTCCACATCAAACAGTGACAATCAAAAGTTCACAGGGTACGACTACTAATAATACACACAGAATTAGCGAGTATCGTTATCAGCTTGTGTCCGTCCAACAGAAATCATTATAAGATGGGTAGAAGAATCCTTGAAATTTGATTGGTCAATTACTGTTTAGATTTTTTTACTGGATGCACGCAATATCAACACAATATATGCGATATCGGAATCGATAGCACTGATATCCTGATTGTTTACATTGTCTGCACAAACAAGATGGCAAATCGCGGCTGCGATTTGTTTTTCCAGCTTCTCTCAGACGAAGAATTATCTAAATTGTTGGATGATTCGGATGCGGCTAGCACAAAAAGGTCAAAGTTCAAAGTTGGAAAAGTTTGCACAGATCAAGAACATCAATTTAGGAGACATTTCAACACTCATGCTATACATGTATATTATTGTACATTGGCAGGACTGTCACTCAGTGCAAGCAGTATTATTAATGTTAAGTTCTATTTCCTTTTGATTAATAGGAATTTAGCAGCAGTGTCGGCAGTGGAATGGCAAACAGAGGGAGCTGGTGGAGTGAGGAGGAAACATTGTGTCTGCTGGGAATTTGGAAGGAACAGAATATTCAGGATCAGCTAGACGGTACGGTGAAGAACAATATAGTCATGCGAAAGATAATGGAGATGATGGCTGCGAGTGGCTATGAAAGGACAATACTTCAAATCAAGAACAAAATGAAAAAGTTACGGGAGTTTTTCCGACGCGCCGAGGATAACAATCGGACATCTGGATGGGCCCGAAAGACATGCAGGTATTACAACGAGCTGGAAGACATCTTAGGTGGGCGACCAGATACTGCGCCTGTAGCGGTAGTGGCCTCCGTAGAATTGGAGGTGCCAGAAACTTCAGATACTGAAGATGGTGACATCCTTAACATGGGCACTGACAGTGGAAGTGAGGTTGAAGATGCCACCTCAGGCGATCTTCACCTCATGAATTTTATTGCACCATAGTAAATACCCTCATGCGCTGCATCGACCATAACGCACTCACACCTGTGCATTATTTGTAGAACATAAGTTTGATGTGGAAAGAGAATGATGTGTTGATACATATTTCATACATGTACACGTAACAGTCTGCAGTAAGTCTATGAATGGATGAGAAAAGTCTTGAAAAAAGACTAACACAAATTGTGCGAAATATGGCGTGAATTATGTTTGATCACGTAATTTGGAAGTGTGTTTGTTTTACAATGTCCTAACCTCAAGATATAACAGAGAAATAGTTCATGATTTTTATATTAATCATGGAACAAGTATGCTTTTAATTGTTCCATGGGAGAGGGGCAAGTACTTATATCTGAGTAATGGGATCTTCTAGTACATAACAGAATATCTGTGGAAGATTTGTTAATATTTTTTAATGCAATAAATATCATCTTGTGCAAATTGTGAAAGTCTCTGTTTTTACAGTAGCACCATTCTATAGCACACATCTAAAGTGTTGTTCATTACATAATTTGACAGGAAACAATCAATGCTTTTGCACCTGTTTGTTCATAGGTAACATGGAAATATATTGCAACCAGCAACGTTCACAACATTTTTGATAACAGGTTTCAAATGATTTAAATGATGTTTTCTTGGAGGAGCTCTTCCACTGGCAAGACCAAGCATACTCACAGCTTGGCAATCATTCCTTTCAGTAGAGGTCGGATGTACTTGTAGTATGTCTCATGCACCTTCAAAGCAAGACAGAAAAAAAAAACATTAAAATAATGACAATATACTCATTATAATTGCAAATGTTGTTTGGGTTGCTAGGAGCCATAGTTTTTATTTCTGGTATGTCACCAACATTGACCCAATTACTCTTTAATATATCTTATTAAAACAAATGAGAATATAATCATAATAATTGCAATAATATGTACCTAGGAAGGTGATCAAACCAAATCTACATAACAACTTCCAATAACCCAACCCGTGTGCTATACAGTGTAATAAAATAGTTGTCATTGAGCTAATCAAGATTGGAAATGGATATTTTAGCAAAGTCATTGTGTTTTTGCACAGGGCAATTCTTGCTTCAATTGGTGCATATAGTTTGTGCCAATTGCATGTGTGTGCAGAAAAGCATGGAAAGTGACCAAAAGTCAAATCTTATAAAACATACGATTTTAACTCATGTTAATCTTTCTACAGTAGTTTGTACTCTCACCTCCGTTCTGTTCCTAGGACTAGTCTTGGCATAGTCGTACATCCGCTGATAAACGTTGCCATCGTAGGACCCCAACGTAGACTGCAAAAACTCATCACGAATATCAATAGCATCAACCAGGGCCACTGCATTGGGTCTAATGATACAGAAATCAATCATTTATTGAAATATAAAATGGTTTAAATATAGCATTAAACCCTTTTTCCACTTGTGTTCAGAACAGATATATGAGGTATTGTACATAAAAGTATACATTTTACAATTTATTTTTTCATCCTCTTGTTAGAAATTACAGTGATAATGCTGTTTCCAACATTTCATTACCTCATAAATATTTGTTCAAATTAACACAAATTTAGTACTGATATTAATATCCTGAAACAAAAATGGCTTTCGTAATAAAATTACTTCGACACAAACGCTATTTAGGAATTTTGTTTTGCTCTCCTCACATAAGTAGAAAATGAAAACATCAGCCTAAACGTTTTTAAATTTCCAATAGACAAGTTCACATATGTACAGTATGTTTCAATTTCATGAAAAATTCTATTGCAACAGTCTCTAGTGATGACCCTCCCCCCCCCCCCCCCCCCCCATTGTCAGATTGTCAGTTGATTTTCTGACATAGCAACAACAATGTATGCAACCTGCAGTCTGAGTTTTAGAATACATAACCATGTAAAAGTGGAGACCTGGACAAGAAGTGACCATAATGTGAATCCATTTGTCTACTGTTTGTAGTTTATGGTTTGCTTAATAACTATATTTTATCATAATGATAATATATAATGAGTCAAACTTATGATAACAACAATGATAATAAAAATAATCATGATATTAATATTGATAATAATAATAATAATAATAATTACAATGTAATATTTTTTTTTTAATTTCTCTGGATATATGAACAACCATTGAATATAATGTAAATTTAGAAAAAAATATCTATATAATGTAAATGTTGAAGTGCTATATGTTTATTCTTATGTTTATTCTTATGTTGTATGTATCATGTCACATGTACATTTTATTTTTTTCTGTGAATAATGCATGTAAACGCAACAAACAGTATTGATTTGAATACCTGATTACAGCAAGAAGATCAAGGTAGTGATTGTGTAGCCAACTCAGTTGCTCATTGGACATGTACCCATCCTAAAAAGAAAGATGAAAATATCACTCAATTAGCAATAAATTTATTGATTATTGTTATCAATCATACATGTACAATATTATTTTTATAAACTTGGGCAAGCCCAAGGTATTTGGCAATTTGCTGTCCCATATTAAAGCTACCAAGTATTGTTGAGTTCTGAATATACATTGACAATAAATGTGTCATTTCAATTCTTATTTGGTCTGATCTTGGCTCTAGCAACTTTGTTCATTGAATAAATTGATCAGATACATGTATACTAAAATCTTAAAATGTGCTTAGTGAGGTATGGTACAGAATAGCTTGGATTTGACAATTTGAGAAATCAGTTTACAGCAATAGCGAATGTCAAGAGAATAATCACAGCAACAATCACAGAAGATCAATATAGTTTCAATACAGAAAACCTATAAATGGCATTTAGGTTGAATTTCACTGTGTTAGTAGCCGACAAATTATGAGAATAATCAATATTATTGTCTAGGAAGATAAGCTGTGTCTTACGGCAATGAATTCTCCAGAGTTTTGTTCTATATGATAGATGGCATAGAGGAAGCTAAGAGTATTGAGTATTGCTGCCGTGTCCTGTGATACCTCGACATGCTGGACACCATCAAAGAAAGCCTTCACAATGAAATACTGGGTATGAGCCTGATAAGTAAAAGAACATTGAAGTCAAGTGACGATATTAATAATAATAATAATATTCCGCTCTTATATAATGCTTTAATACCGGGTAATACAATGTCTCTAAGCGCTTTACAAATATACTATTACCCCGGTCATTGGATTCAGTGCTTGCCTGCACACACTGTGTGCACAATTGCCACTCCCAGGGGAGCATTCCAGCTAGGCGTTACTTGACGCATAATGAGACAGATCAGGCTAGAAATCATTTTGATGGTCATCACTGAAAAGCACAGCTCATGTTATAACATTAACTTCACACAAGAATATCAATAGAGCAATTCTTGCTGAATACAAGATCAGACATTCCTTGTGAAAAAACCTGTGTCTAATTTGTATTTATTATTATTTATTAAGAAATCACAAAAGCTAAACAAAAAGACCTCAGATGCTAACTTCTTTGCAGTAAGCACAGGAGCAGCAAAGGTATTGGGATTCCCATTTGAATAATTATAAATATTTAAGAGCTTCACACAATTTTTGTTTACTTTCTTTGAGGATGAGAACATTTCCTACCTTGGACATAATACTTACATGAGAAGCTTTGACTAGATCAATACTAGTACTCTCTTTGCTTACATAAGAACATTTCTTACCCTGGAGATGATACTTACATGAGAAGCTTTGACTAGATCAATACTAGACTTGTTCCAGGCTTGTTGTTGAGATAATCCTTGCCCCATCTTCTGAGCAAGCTGCTCTCCTGCTTTACGAGTTAACCTGCACAGATAAATACAATGAAACCTTACATAAAGACCACTCAAGGGAAATATAAAAGTGGTCTTTATGGGCAGGTGGTCTATATGTAGAGGTTCCTTTAGTACAGGTTTCAATGGGAAAGGTATTCAAGGGAAACAAAAAATGTGGTCTTTACAGACAGGTGGTTTTCCTATACAGGTGGTGGCTAAGGCAGGTTTGACTGTACAACTTACATAATGCAGCAACATTTCATATTTCATATAAACTTAAGACAAAGCTGCATAGAAAAGACACTAAAAGTAGTCTTTCTAGACAGTTGGTCTTCACATATAGGTTCTCTATTAATATTTTTTTTCAATGACAAACACGGCTTCAAGGGAAACAATTTTTTTTGGTAGACATTGGTCTTTCTATACAAGTTACTTTTAAGGAGGTTGACTGTTCTCTCTATGTAATCATAATGTATGAATGTTACACAAGTATGAGGACCACCAGATTGCTCTGAATAATCTCTGTTGGTCTTTATATCTTCCTCATATTTTCATTGATTAACAACCAAGAGCAAACAGAAAATTATTCAATTTACTGAGTTCTTTAAAAAATGAATTCATAAAGCAATTAAAGGCTCACTGCTAATTGATGATACGGTATCAGATTAATGAATTCATCCGACTATCCATCATCACAGGTGAAATAAACCCCCCTCACACCAATAATGTGCCATAAACTCAGTAAAAGCTTGGCAAAAGCCTTCTTCTTCTCATGAAAAACAGTCCCCCATCAGGTGTGTTGTCACACTATTTGGCAGGTCCAGTGTGGTGTCCAGTGTGTTGTCCAGTACCCCTTTAAAAATGTCCACATAACGGTACTTTTACTTGCAAGCGCGCCATTGATCAGCCTAAAGAAATGAATTGCTCATTTATCCATCTCAAGTTACTTGTACTAACCATTGTGCTCTGTGCTTGTAGGCATCTATAATGAGTTGAGCATTGAGTGACTGGTCCGCTTGGTCACATGACCAGCTACTCTGCGGTTCCTCTGTGAGATACGCACCGAGTCCCTGGATGGTTTCTCCTGCTTGCGCTTTACTTAACGTCTTCATCAGGTACCTGAACAAAGAGTTGGAAAGAAGGCAATGATTGCTATTGCACCCTTAAATGCTGTGAGCACGCAGCATACCCCACCAAAAAATTTGAGTACTAAATAATGTTTTTACTATACCGATCAACTTTTTTTTTCTCAAGAAACAGTAAGAATTATCTCTTTTTTAAAGTCTACATCCATGCTGGATATCTCACATCAATTTTTTAATTGCACTCTTAGAAGTTCATTTTGAAAACTGTACAAAAGCTCAGTGACAAAGAAGGCTGGCTATATGTATATTGGAATGAACACACTAGCAAGTCAAAAGAGTAGTTTAAATCTTGCATTTATTGTTTTTGTTCGAATAAAGCACTTTGAATGAACACACGCACTAAAATCATTCCAAAAATACTTAGGTATCACAAATGAATGTGTATTTAGCAGAGATGAAGTTAAGGCTGGCAGTTCCAGTCACAAAACCAGCAAAAATATTGTCTGCCACAGGTTTTGTACATGTGACTCAGTCTGAAGCCTAGGCCAGTCAAACATGGCCTCGAGGCTGGACTCGACTAGCATTTAGAAATCACTGTCTATGTACTTACCCTGCAACCTGCAGAAGTAGAACAGTGTTCTCACCCTCATAGGTACAAGCAGCGGAAAATTTGTTGTACATGTCCGGGAGCCCACTCTGTAACATTACACCATGACCCCCACAGGCAAACCGACAGGTCTCAATATGAAGCGTGGCTTCTCTCGTTGTAAGTGCCTTCAGACCAGAAGCCAGTGCATGAAGCTGGAGAAGAGGCAAGAAATTTCAAAAACCCTTACTAATAAAACCATGAAAATTGTGAAAATTCAACTATGCTATTGAAATCTTGCAAATATCCTCATAAGAAAATTCCAAGCCACATATGTGTGTTGTCAAATAATTCCAGTCCTGCGTACAAGGCATGTCATTTTCGTCAGTGATTTTTTTTTTCTTCCATTTAAAATCTTGATCAATCCAAAACCTCACAGTAGAACCACTACTTATGCACCAATAATAAACTTTCCTTTCAACAGCTTTGAGGTAGTTTCATATCAAATGAAATCACATGACAAGTAATCAACTTTACCTATTTAGACTACCCTCAGAATATGACTCCTGTTCAGAGCAATTTGCATCCTGTCCCAAAAAAAAAGAACTTTTAACTTAGTGGAAAAAAGAGGAAAAAAAACTACCTCTGGGAGTAAAGTGAAGTTGAGCTTCTGAAGATTAGCCTCGTTTTTGAGATATAGCGTCTTGAGACGCAAGCTGACAAATTTGAAGGCATAAGTAGCAGCAATGCCAGGGAAGAGTTTGTGTTGTTGGGTCTGGTAATCTAGTATAGGAACCTCAGGACCACTAGGGATGAGAAACAAACGGATGTTAATAATGAGATCGAGTTCCGGAAAAATGACCCCAAATGATTTTTTGTAAGCTTTCTTAATATTATTTTTTATGTCGATTTTGAAGAATATCATAGTAGACTATAAATATCCCCTTGCGCAAAGGATTACTCTTCAAATACCTTCATAATCATTTGAATGGATAAGGGTGCCATTAGCTTTACATAAAATGGATTAGAACTTCACAATGATTATACTGCTATCATCTTATATATATTTGTTTCAATGGTAATATCTACATGCTATCACTAAAATACATGTATTCCACCAGACTCACTTCTTGTCTATTGAACCTTGTCTGCGGATGACGCTGTATCGTGTTGCCACGGTGACGGCTTTGCCAATTTCATAGGATGCGGCTTCTACAATCTTAGTCCTGACAAGTATCATACTTCCATAAGTGAGCTTAGGGTTACCACGCCGATTGTACACACCATCATGAGTAACCTATGGGAAGATAGAAAGAATAATGATGATACTACTACTACTACGAATGATGATGATCAGGAGAAGAAGCCGGGGAAGAAGGAGAAGGAGGAGGAGGACATCGATGATCATGAATGATCATGAGCATGAGCATGACAATGCCGATGATGATTATGATGATGATGGTAATAACAGCAATAATAATGAAATTGATATTGACAATGCTGATCGTTATTTTCATCGGTGAACTAATTAGAACCAAGAGTGGATTGCCACAGAGAACTATTATCAAATGTATAGGGTATATATACTATACACTCTAAACAACTTGGCAGGAGGTTTCGGATCCATAACAAATCAACATTTAAACTTGTCAATGATTGTTGACTAAAACGTAAAAAACGTCTACATTTGAACAAGGCTTAAAGGTTCTTTCAGATATGAAGTGGTAAATTGCGGTGTTTTTCATTGATGAATGGCAACTGTGTGCAACAAATGTCCTATGCGTATTCCCTGAACTCTGTGTTATAAGACAAAAATGTGTGAAGTGTTTTATATCAATGTCATTATAGATTTTAAATACCCACAGTTTACCAAGTCACATCTGAACAAGATTTAAGAAAAGAGAAATGGATCACTGACCTCAGCGTATTTCATCAACATGTTGAGACGAGGAATACGAACATGATCCACGATCAGGAAACCATTACCAATGGCATCAAATGATGACTTTCTCCCGATGTCTCCAAGTGTGACACCTATATACAAAGAAACATTGATATTCCTCCTTAGAACCTAACAGATTCACTTCTTCCGTACAGTGATTACAGTGTTTTCAGTGTGCTTTCTTGACCAAAAAAGACCATTCTCAGTCACGCCTGTGATCTAAATCAATAAAAATTGTTGCTTTAACCTTATTTCAGGTAGTGATTTTTAAGAGCAGAAGTCTCCAAACTTGGATCTCTAAATTATATAGCACTTCACAACCAGAGAGAATTGTTTGTGTTGCCCTTTGCCCTTTAACAACCAGATTGTGTTTTCACAATAAGAGTATATTATTGTCTTAAAGAGTAATTTATAATTACAGATTCCGTATGTATGGTCTAGGTCAGGGCCCAATTCAAATCAAAACTTATCATATCAGGATTATAGCATTTAGCTTACATGTAGGTAAGTAAAGTGGCTCATGTAGTTATATCTAAATATTCTACTTTAGTAAGCCAACCTTAAGCCAAAATACCTACTTATGGCCATTGTGACATCACATTTTCAATCCAAAATCAGGCATATCTGACATAAATATTAAATTGAATGTCAGACCAGGGGCCTGTTTCATAAAACTTTTTTCTGTAACAACTGCTAAATTTCTATGACAAATTTGCTCTCAGCCAATCAGATGCCAGGATTTCAGTGGCTTATAACAGTAGCTTGTAACTTGTTATTGATATCAATTTTTATGAAACAGGGCCCAGGTGTTCAGTGGCCTTTTCACAAAGCACAAACACTTCTTACCTGGGAGAGGTTGATGAGTCTCAAGACTTCTAACTTGAACAATAAAGCAATGAGGACCATGTTTCTTTCCTCCAACAATTAGCTGGGCAATTAGAATAACATGAGTACATGACTTGGCCACTGCAGAGAGAAAAAAGAAATGAAACCCAAGTAAAATCACATGCAATGGTTCTGTACTATCACATAAAATATCCAGTATGATTACTGTAGTACTAAAAAGTTTGTGGGCATCAAATGTTTGTAAATTTTACAGCTGGTTCTGTTTCCTAACAGTTTCACTGAATCACAATTGAATCACAATACGCGAAGTCTCTTGTCTTTAAAAATTTGTGCAAGTTCTGTGTTGCAGATATTTCTGGTTTTATGGTCAATTAAAATTATATTTTATCACAATTGATCAAAATTCATATTACTTTATATATATATATATATATATATATATATAAATATATATATATATGCGATAACATAAGTGTAATACTTTTCACATTTCATTATATTACAGTGCTCATTCAATATGCATCAGACCTTTGTTGCAAGCCAAATCTGTAAATTGTTTTGAGCCCTGTCTATAGTAGGCCCTATAGATCAATATATAGAAAATACAAATTATTCCATAAAAGGTTACAATTTCTGAATGGATGTTTCCTCCTCAAGTAGATAAACACTCACATCCTCCTGGCCACCATTTCATTGCCGTCAATGTTGGAGCATTGAGAACAAACTCTTGGGCCTTCTCGTCATATGTGGCAGTGGTTTCCAAACCATTCAAGTTGGTACCTGCAGGTTAAGGAAGAATCAACAAAAATCACATTATACATTTGGAAGATAAGTGTTTGTAAACTTTGTATTTGCATTCATGTAATTTCTTGATTGCTTTATGCACCGTGGGTGCCATAATCGGCTGTATGTGGGCTTTATAATTCTAGAATTATTATCATTCTTAACGTTTCTGTGTCTACAGAGTCTCACAGAGATACTTTATGTGTTATGGGAAAAAAAGGTTGTATGCCTGGAGACTATTACAGTGCGCTGAAAATAAATTTCAAGTTGTTGAAGTTTGCTGTTGTCCTGAGAATATCTTTAAAAGCATAATCTTGGAAAAACTGTGTTTTTCTTCTTAGGCAAAATAACAAAAACAATGTGTTTCACGTCCAGACTTTAAAAAAAAAAGGAGAGGGCTGGGCATTACTATTTGCTATTTTTTGCTATTTTTTTCAAAGATGGCTGCCATGCTAATCAAAGCTGGCCAAGCCTATATATAACTCACAGATATTGTCCTATGTGAGTATACTGAAGCGATGTGTGACAAAACTATTGATTTGTATCACTTTAGAAGCTATTGAAACAAAATTTATATCACAGGCTTTTTTCTTTTCTTCTGAATAGTAAATAGTTTTTAAAAAGGAGCTGGCTGCCAAAAAGGAGGCAAGCGGAGATGAGAAACACTTTATTTTTGGTATTTGGCCTTTCCAAATAAGTTTGATATTCAAAATTCATGACCAGTGACAATATTATGTACAGAACTGTGTTTTAAACTAAACTAAAAATAATTTTGAATGAATGCATATCTGTTTAAGTTATTGGCAGATCAAGTAGGAGGGGGTACATTGCAAACTTTACTTTAAAAAAAACCCATCTGATTGTGCTCTACCTGCAGCATTTTAGACCTTAAAACTTTGTTTAAATGCCAAAAATGATGGGAATATGTGTGTTTTTTTTGCCTGTCAGACATTCCTTTTGACTATCTTGTAGCTCCTCTGTAAATGAATCCTGGATCTGCTGTGAGCTTACCGTGGCCCAGCTCTGTCTGTGCATAGGTTCCTATTATTTTGTACTGTCTAGCGATAGGCAGCCATTTTGCTTTCTGCTCTTCAGTCCCTAGTCTTTCAATGGTTGGGATGAACATCAGCTGGTGGATGAACAGTCCCACATCTTGATTCATACACCTAGGGAGATGACAGAATAAAAACACATCCAAACAGTATCAATCACCTGAAAAGGTAATTTATGTATAGCTGGACTATACAAAAAGAACATAAAAAATCTTTATTAAGCATCCTAAAGGTGAACAGTTAGGGAGTATTATAAAGAAAATAATGGATAACTTAAAGCCCAACGAATGGAAACCAAGTCTGACTAGGTTTCTCTGCATGCCCTATTCTATGCAAGTGCACACACATGTGTTGACTGGTCTCAATCAACTGAAAAAATAATTTGTGTATACCTAGAATGTATAAAAACAAACCTCAAAAAATTAACCAGCATTCTTAAAGTAAACGTTTAAGGAGTATGAAAGAAATAAAGGATCACATTTTAAAAAACCTGTACAGGTATAGGGCTCCATCCGTGCGCCATCTCGTCTACTCGACAAGATGTTTTACTATTCACTAATAATGTATTTAAATTGCAATATCTTTTTGTAGAATTGATATTGTAAACTCACATATGTGACCCGGCACCACAAAACCAACAAAAAGTCGCAAAAAATTATTTTCCTGATTTCATCTGATTATGAAAGAAGAAGTTCTCCTCATTAAAATGGTATATTACTTGTCTAAATTGAAGCTTCCTAACCCTTTCAATTTAGTGAATGAAAAGAGCTGGTGAGGGAGGTTACTGGTATTAAATTGTGAGAAAGAGAGCTTTAAAGTTTGGGGCTATTCAAGCATGCGGAGCAAGCAAACCACAGGGAAATCAATAGAAGGGTGAATCAAAAGGCCATAGCAACCACTAAGAAGAGATTTTCAGATTAGGCTGAAATTTGGCCTGATGGTCAAACATAGTCTGTTCATTATGTTTCTGAGGTTTCAATGTGTGGACTTAAGTCTTTCAAAAGTTATTATGTTGTAAATGTATAGAGCTGTAATTGGACAGATTAAGTGAACTGCAACATAGTGCCGAGACACCTGCACTAGACAATGCCTATTCATGGTGGACCCGGAGTCTTTTTGTTCCCCCTTACATAACACTGCTTGTCACCTATCTTGTTTTGTATACATCTGGGCAATTATTTGTAACCACATTATGAACTTGCTTTATACTTAATTCCCATACTGTTTTCTTTCTCACAGGAGGTTCAAAGTATTTTTACTATGACTTGCTCTATCATTTCCAGTAGCCATCCTGATGATAATTAATGGAAGCAATTCATAAATACCAGCCAGAAAGTGGTATAAAAATAAAGAAAGGCAGGAGACACACAGTAAAGACACCAACATAGAATAACGAAAAATAGAAAGAATGAGAGAGAGAGACAGAGAGGGAAAAGAAGGGGGAGAATTATGATAGCTGTAAGTAAAATGATGATATCAAGAGTGTGAATGTGTGTTTACAATAAGAACTTGATTTCAAAACTCTTATGGGAGAATAAATTTGGAAGCACAGAAATGAAAACAAAATTATTTAGGGAATGTCACAACTCTTTCTCATCCTGTATCACAAGTTTAAAAATGCAACAACTCTCTCTCATCCTTTATCACAAGTTTGAAAATGCAACAACTCTTTCTCATCCTGTATCACAAGTTTAAAATGCAACAACTCTTTCTCATCCTTTATCACAAGTTTAAAAATGCAACAACTCTTTCTCATCCTTTATCACAAGTTTGAAAATGCAACAACTCTTTCTCATCCTTTATCACAAGTTTGAAAATGCAACAACTCTTTCTCATCCTGTATCACAAGTTTAAAATGCAACAACTCTTTCTCATCCTTTATCACAAGTTTAAAAATGCAACAACTCTTTCTCATCCTGTATCACAAGTTTAAAATGCAACAACTCTTTCTCATCCTTTATCACATCCTTTATCACAAGTTTGAAAATGCAACAACTCAAGCTACTCGAAGTCGTTAACGGAGAATATCAGACGAACGCAAATCTGGAACTCGGATGTGAAAGCGGATACAAACAAAATGGCGCGCCACACTGATTGCTATAACGGACCAATCACAGCCCGCGTAGCACGACCCGTTAGCAACGACCGACCATTTCCGGACTACGATAATTTCGCTCGGGAAAAGTGATCAAATTTTGGAAGAGACCGAAGGCTGTGCGAAAAAAACTGGTCTAGAAAAACCGTTTAAAACACATCTTCTACTATGTTTTAGACTTCCAAATTTTGATACTAGGTACAGAAAAGACCACTCTTTCAGAAAATGCAAAAAAACAAAAATCTATTTTTTTCACCTAAATTGACATTTTAGCTGATTACGGAGAATCGCTGGTTGCGACTTTTTGTTGGTTTTGTGGTGCCGGGTCACATATTGAACAGTATAGCGACATGGAACCCTTTACACTTTAAGAGCAAAATATTTTTGGTTGATTGGTAAATTTTAAATCAGTAAATCCCACCTTCCCACGACAGCTCCATCATCCGGTTGATACAGGTTGTACTTCTCTTGGATGGCCACCCATCGTACAGATCTTTTGATGGAAAGATCATAGGCTTCAGCAGGGCTCAGCGTACATCGACCAGTTTGGTCAAAATGTGGATCGCTTGCAATGATAGACTCTGCAAATTCAAAATAATTATGTGTCATTTCACAAGTATTTCAACATCAGAAATATTTTTTTAAAAACCTGTGAAAATAAAGTCAACTTTAAAAGATATTTTGGGAACTACAGAATACCCCACCACACAAGTATCCCTATAACCATAACCTAGCCATCCATACGCCTAACCCTAGTAATAGTAACCTTGACACTAATCCTAATTCACTGTACGATTTGTGGCATGGTACTCTGTAGACCGAAAGCTTCAGTCTCTATAATCGTCGGTTGTTCCACTGAGACTACGTCTGGCTCCACTAGACCTCCGGTTATAGAGACTGAACGACTGCCTATGCCAGCCTGTGTTGAACTTATTCCGCTAGATTTTAGCCGCTAGGCCCCTCCCACAAACTTGCCACGGCCGTATTGTTATGCCCCCAAAATCCCCCAAAATGTCATTTTACCTCGTTCATTTCCAATTTTAAATTAGGCCTAGGCTATAATACATCGGTTCCACTTACTAACTTGATTGATATAATCCGTTTAATGGTCCCTTTTAAGGAAATTATCGGTCAAAATCGACATCCATGTTGAAAATCTTGCAAGCCGTGTTAAACTCTCGCTGCCGTCAATCTCATCCCTTCTAGTCTACGCCGAAGGCAAAATGATTATGAAGGAAAAACTGTGATAACGCCATTACGAACGTGTAGATGGCGCACAGTTTTTCCTTCATAACCATTTTGCCTTCGGCGTAGACTAGAAGGGATGAGATTGACGGCAGCGAGAGTTTAACACGGCTTGCAAGATTTTCAACATGGATGTCGATTTTGACCGATAATTTCCTTAAAAGGGACCATTAAACGGATTATATCAATCAAGTTAGTAAGTGGAACTGATGTATTATAGCCTAGGCCTAATTTAAAATTGGAAATGAACGAGGTAAAATGACATTTTGGGGGATTTTGGGGGCATAACAATACGGCCGTGGCAAGTTTGTGGGAGGGGCCTAGCGGCTAAAATCTAGCGGAATAAGTTCAACACAGGCTGGCATAGGCAGTCGTTCAGTCTCTATAACCGGAGGTCTAGTGGAGCCAGACGTAGTCTCAGTGGAACAACCGACGATTATAGAGACTGAAGCTTTCGGTCTAGGTACTCTGCAGAGTCCAAGCATAAAACCTACCGCCGATAATAACATTGCCATTAATATTAACTACTGTACCATGACAGCATCACACTCAACAGCCGATCAAATCAAGCTTTCCATGGAGTTACCATTTATGGCAAAGTTACCACTTACCACAAATGGGAATAGTCTACATATCAAACATGGCCACACAAAGACTGAACTAGTTACATTCTGGGTCAAAATATATTCCAACTGTCACTGGTCCCAATGATGTCATCTTCAACGTCTTTTTCGTGAGCAGTGACAGTTTAAAATACAGCCGCAAGATTGTCAACACAGAGTTGTATTTTGACCCATAATTTTCTGAAAAAGAACTATTAAATGCATACAGTCAAGCTGATAAGTGGAAGCATCGGATGCATGTGCATCCGCTAAAATTTATTTTAGTGCACATTTTACTGGCACGATCATGTCAACATGCCAGTAAAGTTTGCACAGCAGACCCTATGGTCGGCTTCTGTCTCTAACGAAAGAGACAGAATTTTTGGTCTAAGGCAAGGTATCCTAACACTAATTTTAACCATGCTCACAGTAACACACAACCCCCAACAAGTAGGCGACCAGACGTGGCCTACCACTACCAGCCACGCTCCCAGAGGGATAGGCACAAGCTGCGGCGGGCACACGCTCAACCTTGGTAGAGCTCGGAATTGTATAAGTGCGGGAAAGAATAACATAATTACCGATGTATCTCTTCCTCTCCAAAGCTTCTGAACCATCAAACAAAAGAAGAGTCATTTCATCTCTCTGGAATGATGCAGAATCTCTTTCCTTCTGCATATCTGGATGTATAGCACCAGAATAAGTTGGCAGTGTTGGTCCGTCCATGATCTCTCGTCAGCTGTTTTCGTGTGTAGTACCGGTACCTAACCCTACCGTATCGCGGTACAGTTGAATAACATGCATATAATTCGGAGGACCTGTAGTTCTTGAAAAGAGACGTTGTTTTAACTAATCCAAACTTTTCCGTATGCTAGTGGTTTTATTATATTTTTTTATTTTAAAATATTTATGCTGTGTCAACTTTGTATTTTTTCATGATTTTCTTAAAAAATAGATCAGATTTTTAGGTCTTTTTAGAAAATTTTAAACGTCTTATAAAAGAGATAATTTCTAAATGATTTTATTTCTAGACTATTGTACCATTACGGTACTGAAAAATGTATGAAATGCTATTTATGACATAAATTATCCTACAAGTCGAGAGAGCAAAGCTTAGGCATGCATTATGCCCCCTAGCTACCACAGCCACCCTATTTTACTCAACAATGTGTAATTTCAATTGACCAACTAATCAAAGACAATCAGGGTTGCGCCTGCAAGGCACTTTGGGGCAGCTCCTGAACTGCTGCCCCAATAAGTCGATGCCTCTAGCTCTCGATCTGTTTAGTGCATCCATCCACAGTAAAATGATGCAATCAATCAATTAACTAGGCAAAAAAAAAGAAAATCAAGCAATCAATTAATCAAACAAACAAACAAACAACCAATCAATATGTTATTGGGGTATTTGATTTTGTAATGAAAACTCAGAATTTCAACAAGGATCGGGCCCCGGGTTGGGGGGGATACTCAAATTTGGTTTGGACGGGGGTGTGCCGCTCAATTAGCCTCAAAACCCCTATATACCCAATTATTAGGGGTCATTTGGGGTCATTTTTAATGATATTTTTGTTAAAAGGTGGGACCTATGTTTAGAGTTTTTTGTGAAAAAGTGACCCAGTAGAGCGCATCTCTCCCCCCTCCCCCCTGCATCCGCCACTGCCAGAAACATTGAGGGAGGTTTAACCCCCAAAACATCCCCCTGCGTACGCACCTGCATCCATCTATATCAACCTATCCATAGAGAAAATAATCTTTATTTTCTCAATCTTTGGTTGCAATTAAAGTACCGTACAATGTATTCAACTGAATTCTTAAGTTATTACTGAAATTTCAAAATGTTTTTCATAAAAAGCTTACAATGACGCATTGTTGTAAAAAGAAGTAATGAATTTGAAAAGAAAAAGAAAAAAAGTGTGCATGGCAAAAGTGTGATTATTTGATATCTTGTGTGGTATTCATTACAAACTTTTAAAGAAGGCTGGATCTTTATATCTACGACTGAGATATGGTGTAGGTTTGTAGACAGAGTGATCAAAATAGCTCATCTTATCTGTTTTAGACAATACAAACATTATGTAAGGTTAAACGTTGTTTGTTATCTGCCCTTTGGTGTATATAGGCCTATAGGAACTCATATGTACAGAGACTGACCTATATACAGCCAGTCAGACTCGTTGGGATGGAGAGGGACCGGGGGGGGGGGGGGGGGGGGGGGGCTGACAGACACACAAAATCATAGAGTTAGGTCTTGACCCCTAAGTTCGGTGGATGGCCTTTTGGGGGAATGAACAGGGGCCATGGACCAATTGCGCCCCCTGGTATGTAAATTGATACAGATAAACAAAATACTGAGCATCAAAATATTTCTCAGAATATGAGCATGATGTATACGGGAATATAATACAAGAGATGAATATATGTCATTATACTTTTAACATTATAGGGGCCTATGTACATCTGCGATGGGAAAAAATATATAAGTTGAGGCCACTAAATATCGTAGGTTCATTCGGGGGGGGGGGGAGTGGGGGTGGGGGTAGAACATTACCATAATTGGGCATTTACAATCTTCTGATTATAAACCATTAAGACAATTTTTATTTATTTTAATATTACAATAATTCTTCTTCCCCCGATTGTATTATGTTCATGATAGCAATGTTCCTCTTTTGATTAAATACAGGGCACTTTGGGTTTTTTAAGGGGGACAATATTTTGCCAATTAAACCTCTTCATCCTGACAAAGCTTGAATGGCCTACGACATTATGCCTCTCACTTTTAGAGAGGGGGGGGGGGGGGGTGTGTGACTTCAGCCATCTCCTTTTTGAAGAAAACTTGTGCCTGTTTTGGGGGTAATGTTTTGTAATGTACAGTCCTGTCCAGGAATTTGTAGAGCTCCAACATCTAGATGCCTAGTCAAGGGCGTTGAGACCGAACAAATACTGAATATGCCATTCATGATTCACCTTGGAATGACTGGAGTACTATAGTGGCTAGTTGTACGCGTGGAATAGCTTTGTCTTTCGTTGGGTTTGATAGCAGGTCACAAGAGAGAAGATACTGAGGAAGACTGTTCCGCAACCTAATTGAAGAAGCAACAGCTTTATTTTGACAAAACCTGGTGCCCGGGATAGATAGCACGAACCTTAATGGGGTGAAAAGGATCAGACTTTGAGGTCACCTTTTTTTTTGGGGGGGGGCGGGGGGATTTGGATGTTAGATTCACATTCTTTTTGTTAAATGGCCAAGTATATGTAGGCTTGATCGGGTGATACTTTAAGGACAGGACCCCTAATAGTGACATATAAGTCGAGCAAAGAATGCATCTCATCTTGCGTTCACCTCGCTTCCCCATTTGAACACCCCAACTCAAAAAAACTTCATCGATCTGAAGCATGTGGTAGATAGGATTAAACAGTATGCTTAAGTCAGTTTATAAATCTAGTAAGGATATTGCATTCGACTCAGAAGACAAAAGAAGAAAACCAGAAAATCAGGCAAATTACATCAAAAGTTTCAATATTTATTGACTCTTCTTTTTTCCATATCAATACCTTTCAACACAAAATATTAATGCATTTACATAAATATACATAAATATCACTTTATTTGTTTTGATAACTAGCTCGGAAATAAAACTCTAGCTATGGCAAATTATCTAGTGCAAATACAAGTAAGTACCACAGACAATAACTTTATGATTGCAGAGTGTTTTACAGCATGAGCACAGATAAAGCCACAAGAACTACTGATAATATGATAAAAAGCACACAATAGCTTAAATGACATTTAGTAAAGCTTTACTTTTTATTTTACCTTTCAAATAAAAAACTCAATATCCAGTTAGATCTCCAGGTCACATTTAAACAAAAATGCAGCATAAAACAATACCAAAAAGAAGTTTTCATAACTTATCCTTTGTTTTTCTTTAAAATTTTAAATCTCTGAGCCCAAATTTCTGCATCTATCCAAGAACTTTTCACAATATATTGACATTTGACTCAATATTTGAAAATGAAATAAAAATTATAAAAGTACTATTTAAAGTACAATGAAATCTAAACATTACGTTTCCCTCCCATAATTACATGAACATTATGATGATGACTTTGATATAACTTTGTGGTATTCAATGTGTTTATAGTCAGAATAACACCCACACTCAATTTAAATTACCATCCCTACACCAGAAGATTAATTCTATTAATCCTTTCAGGGGTATACAATCATGAAATTGAAGCCTTATATGTTCTTTCTCTTTTTTGCATGCCATATTTTTACCATGACAATATTTCATTGCACACATTTTCATAAAAATCTATATAACCTCTGAAATTTGTAGAAATATTATTTCATAGAATTATTTTTGATGGAAGAATTTTTGCATTTGGCATGAATACCACAATATTTGTTTTCTCCATCACTCTCCTTTCAAAACAAAGACTAAAAAAATGCCCCTTTCCCAACATAATATTGTCTCCCAAGAGCTATAAGGTATTCATATGCTTTTTATGTACAGTTAACATCCCTCTTGCTCGATCTCCATCAGTAGGCTATGCAATGTACATCACTGCCAAACCAAGCATATGAAGGAAGGGGACTTTAATATTCATATTCATATTGTACATAGGCTTTATCAACATGTCGTGCAAAAAGAATCCCACGTTGTCCTTCTTTGATGGGTCAAATATTATTTTTGATCAGTTTAAATTTCCTTATCTTACTTTAATTGTGCATAATTGAATATCTCGTCCATGATTACATGAATAAAAATGGCATTCCGACCAAAATAACCAACTTGGAAAGATGCAATACAGCTAACATATTATAAACATGATTCTGATTTCCAATTCACTTTTTGTAAACTCTCCTGCCAACAGTATAAACCAGATAAAGCCTGTATCTCATTTCAATGTGATCATTAGATTTAGCACATTCGGTGCTATGAGCATCTACATAGACATTTTTTTAATATAAATAAACCCCACATTTATAAAATGTTGTGTAATATTTAATTGAAAAGGGCAATAAGAAGACTTTCATACACTAAACTGTTTTCTTCATCCCACATCTTCAAGTTTTGTGATATTCAGTAATTCCATTTGTTCAGCCTTTTACATAGTACTACATAATGATGGTCAAACAGTGGTCATAATAGCACTCTTGAACAAACATTTGAAATAAAAAAAAATGACTCTAATCTAAAGTATTCAATGGTTGGAGTTATTCAATCAATTTTATGGCTCATAATTGGGTAAGTTTAAGCTTTTTTGTCTCACCACATTCTAGTAAATCTGACCAATGTATCAAATTATAACACTTCTAGGAACTTGGAAAAGATACCTGATGCTTACAAGCTAAAACATGCTTTTAACAGGTGCTCTTTTTTCAATTTTTTCGATTTCATTTATTTCATTTCAGTTTACTGTTATATATCTTACCTTTAATATGCCCACATGTTTATATTTATGTTATGTTTATGTATTTGTATGTTATTTTTTCATGGAAATAAATATTTAAAAAATGAATTGAATTGAATTAAAAATAGAAGCAAATATAAACTGAAATGACACATTTGATGTCACTTCTTGTGTAGAATTACATAATACTTGGTAATGAATTGGACATCAAATGACCAAACACCTTGGAATTTCCCAAATATATTTGACCATAAGTATCCAGTAGACAAAATGTGAGTTCCTGTTAAACATATTTCTTGCTAAAAGCCAGTAGGCCTATATGGAAATACACAACAATCAAAAGCTTCTTACAAATGTGCAAACATTACATTAGTCTTGCAATTTTAACTTGTATAGGCAACACAATAAGGTATTGCAATTGCCCAATCAATACACATAGATATTTTAGGTAGCTATGTCACAGTCTTATTCTTATAAATTTATATCATTTCAAACAATTTGAAGCCTTTCTTGCTTCAATAACAATCTATATGAATGCACTTACAACATGAATACATTATAGACAATAATCTTTTCTATATAAACATAAAATGTGTGATATAAAAATAAAATCATTACTTACTTTAATTTTCATAATTCTTAGTGCACAAAGTTATCTACGCAAATCTACAGTTCTATACACCATTCAGAGGAACAAGCAGACCTGGGGCCTGTTTCATAAAACCTGTGACTTGCAACAATAAAAAAAAAAAAATTGATATCTATAACAAATCTAATTACAATATGATGGCAATGTACTCTACCCCGTGGAAAGTCTAGAATTGTATCAATTCATTGGTATCTGGAAGAAAATACTGATATTCTGATACAGTATTGTATCCACACAAAAATTCCCCTCCCAATGTGGGAATGGAAAAGTGACTTTTCGTTGAATAAAAGATCAACTGTTAGACTTTAAATTTAGTTAAGGCAGGTTGCCGAATAGTATTTGGCTATGAGGTGCTAAGTATAACATTTCCAACCTGTAACAAAATAAATGAATTAATAAGAAAACCAATCTTACAAATTGATTGTATTCATGCAAGCAATCAGACAGATTGATTTTACAATCATTTCTCTTATTTTAGAACTGAAAGTGTTACATTTAGCACCCCATAACATAGATGTCTTTTCATCTTTAAAAAAAACAACAACCTAGGAATGTAGGATTTTCTTACAGTTATGATGTTGATTCGATTCCCAATGCACGTTCATGATGTTTTAAAAACTTTCCATAGAGGATACACCACCTTTAATTCCTATCACTCTGATTCTCTTTGTTAAAAATAGAATGTAATCATTTATCAGTAATCTCCCATTGCATTACGAACATTAGAACTTCCCAAGTTCCCCCTTATCAATATAACACAAGTAATCTTATTCATCCTAAAGCCATTCATATATACATGTTAATGTATTCTACATTGTACTGGAGCAAGGTTTGGCTATTGATACACTGTTCACATGGAGGAAATTGAGCAAGCGTCTATTCTTGAAGATTTCGCACCTCTTTCAGTCTGTACCAGCATCTACAGAATGTTGAAAATATGACTTAATCTCCTGTCTAAAATACCGCAATTCATCTGTTTGGAGCCAGAAGGGCATTGTCTCATATACTTTAGCAGAATTAATGTCTTTCTAGCTCTGAACAGACACATTTTTGTTGTAATACCATTTCATTGCCATCTATGTTAAATTTTCCATGTTTCGCTGGAGCCAATTTCTTATTATCTAGGTGCATCCTCCTGAATGATTCCATCTGACTCTATCTCGGAAGGCTTATCGGATGGCTTCATACGAAACTGTTCCTTGGTAGCGATTACTTTGTAGGCCGAATTGGTGTCCGTCAGGGTCGTGTAGTACTTTGATTCTCCGAACAGGAGACTCTCACGAGAGGCTAGGCAGCAGCTGCGACACCACATGTACGCTCCTTCGGCCAGTGGTATCGGTTTAGCTGAAAGAAGAGACAAAATAACATACAGTGGATATTTTCAACAATTAAAGCCAACAAGAATGGTATTTTTCAGTACATGTACTCGCAAGTTTGAAATGGTTTAATTTTAAAAGCCAGTTATAAAGACTCAGACATTATTTATAATTTCAAGCATTTCATCCCAAGCATTCTACATTTACTTCATACGGTAAAAGAATATACATCTGATTGTCTTTCGTTGATTGGTTGCAGGCCAATAAAGAGATTTAGAAAGAAAACATTCAGTACAGTTCAACGACTTGATAGCGCACAGAATAACAATTTGTTTGTACTTCAAATGAACACAAACAGATCTGGGCCTTTAATTTCATCGACAAAATAAGTCTGTTTGACAATAATGAAGTCAACAAAGCTGTCTAGACATAAGTCTGTCTTTAATAGCCTACTTGTCTGCAACAATCAAGGGTACTTGATATTGCAAGGTGGCTTTTTAAATGATCATCTAATTTCTTTGAATTACACTCAAAAGAGATGAGTACATCCTATCAACAAACTATGTCTGCTGCCCTCTTTCATCAAGGGTCTTTCATTCTTTTTATCAGCTTAATCACAGACCGGCTTGAAAGAAGTGTAAAGGATCGAAAGCACTTCACATTTATGACAATAAAAGGGGAAAATAGTCACAAAAAGAAAGCAGATTCCCATGACAAGCTTTTCACCAAAGGCAGTCAGGATTCATGTACATATCATTTGCTAAAAATTGTCATGCATCAAACATATTCTACGTATAGATATTACAAAGTATGAGTTGTTCTGCATTACTCTTGTATAGACTCTGGATATTGTAAGCTGAGAAGAGACAGAATAGCATTTCATACAGAGTTAATGCCCTTTTGACTTTGCAGACGGACCATTACAGCAGATCAAAACAACATTCGTGAAAGCTTGATTTCAACCAGTGTCTTTTCTATATAGCTAGTTAATTCATTCCCATCAAATTGTCAGATTTGAAAGAACTATATTAAACTTTTTTTAGGGTTATTAGCAGATATTCAAGTGTGCTTCTCAATTACCTTCTTTCAAATATCCATTTAGGCATGTTCAAAGCCATTGTTACATCAAATCCCCCTTTTTCCCCAATTTATAAACACACCAATCCTTCTCCTACATACAAATGCCATATCCCTTTCATGCGCTTCATGCAGTGATATGTTCACTTAATTTACAGTCGCAAAGACAAATCCTTTTATAATATGTTTTGTTTTGAAACAGGATAAAATACTAATCTTGCATGGCAGAAGAAGAAATAATGATGTGAAAAAGGGATAGTTCTGAAAGAGCCAGGTAATTATAAATGCACAATTCTAATAACACGTATATAGCATTTTTTTCTTTTTGATATGAAATGAAATTAATCTTAAAGTTTTTTTTCCTCCTTGCAATTCACACAGGCTCACAGACAATGAAGTCTGAAAGTATGATTAAAAGCTTCTCTACTCAAAAATATTTCTATCAGATGAAAGTATTAAGGTGTAAAAACCTTAACGCTTTTGTCCATTTTGAAAGGAACAGACAACTCTTGAACAATCTTCCTTGGGTTTAATCTCATGACTCCCTATTTTGATGCAGAGAGGTCAAGCAAAACGAATACAGGAGGGGGGGGGTTAGGCTCTCATAGTCATGTTGAGCTCTTATACTGATTTATACTCTCTAGAACTCCTTATTTGAAAAAAAGGCCATGCCATGCACAAATTCTTTATGCATATATAGTGCTCTAAATATACAATTTTTAAGTTTATTTTAATTTTGTTTTTAATGTATTCATTACCCGTATATAAATTATTTTTTCCCGTTTTAATGTAAAAATAAATTCAAATTTAAATTAAAAAATTTGTATATAAAATATATATATATATATATATATATATATATTATATATTCATGTCTCCTAACATGCAAATATAACACATTTCTATTACTAACAGATTGGACAATAAAGTTGAACCTTTTTCATGAAAACTGAAACAATGCAAAGATGCAGACTCAAGTCCCCACAGGTCTCCAGAAAAGAAATTTGAAGTCAAAATGCTATTGAAGAAGGAATAGCTGATAATAAGTGATGGGGTATGTACCTGTGAAGAGCTAATCTTCTGCCTCTGCAGGTATGGAGGAGAGAGAAATCAAATAATGGCCTTCTGGTTCATTCTCTTGAGAAGAAACAGAAGACACCATGTCATGATTGCACCAAAGACTTACAGATATAACATCATGTTTAGATTTCTTCATACTAGAACACAGCAAGCAGCTCTTTGGTATATGCCTGTTAAACTATGAATCATGTCGCATAAATATATGAAAAGTATGAGTTTTTAAACCAGAAAAGGAAAAAGGTGTGTCCACTCATCGCATGATCCCCAAACAACAGTCAAAAAGAATCGGGGTACAGAATGAGAAGAATGACAAGGTCTACTTTGAATCAACTCATTTTAACTATATTCATTGGAGCACAACCCACCAAGGACTCTTGTTCATGAGGCTTATTTTAAAAAAGAGTTTTCACCCATTTTAGTATTTTTCCTCAATAAAACAGACCTTACTTGAACAAAAGTTGCTGTACACCCATGCATACAGACAGGATCGAATTAATCCTTTGTGACCAGCGCATGACTAAACATACACACACTATATAGTCGAGCTGTACACAAACCTTTAGAGCGATTGTTTCCCTTTAACCCTAAACTTTTTGTGGTCTTTATAACCTCCAAGGATCCAAACAGGGCCCAAGCGAAACACTATAGCTGGTAAATCTGGGATAGGATCAATGGCATTCAACCGTAGAATGTAGGGTAAAAGGGTTTGCATGATTCTATACATACTCATACATTGTGGAGCTGTATACAAACTTTTATAGCGATTGTTTCCATTTAACCCTAAACTAGTTATGGTCTTTATAACCTCAAAAGGTCCAAACAGGGTCCAAACATATCACTATAGCAGGTAAATCAGGGATAGGACTAATGGTATCAAGGCCTGTCTGAGAGACCAAGAATCCGAGGTACAATAACACTATAACCCTTCTCAGCTGGAAGATTTGCAAGAGTCAATACATCTAGATACATAGCATAACTTCAAGGTTTATGTGTATGATTACAAATAAAGTAATCAAATGAGCTATGGCTTTAAGGGCCTATCCAAGGGAATATAATATTTAGCTCAGTGGTACAGCAAAATATGATATGCAGTACCGTTAGTCAAATCACTAAGATAGGCTACCAAGCGAATTCTAATGGTAAAAGACAAAAGTCTATTGCTGTATAGGTAGAGCAACTAAATGACCTATGGCTTTAGGGCCTATCCGAGGGACTATGCCAAGGAACTCTCTCAGCTTTGAGTGAGATATGATTTGCAGGAATTAAAAAAGTATGTAACTGCATGTATATTAACTTTTAAAGTATAGTCTAGGTACACGATTGCAGAAAAAACTAATGACCTATTGCTTTGAGGCCTATCCGAGGGACTCTGATTATTACATTTGTCTTCTGTGTATAGAGTAGGGTTTGATTTGCAATGCAGGGGTCAAAACACTAAGATATCTAGTAAATATTTAATGGTAAGAGAGTAAAGTACATGATGTTGGCAATTGTAGGTAAAGTAACCATGACCAATGGCTTAGCTAGAGGCCATCTGAGGGACTCTGATAATTACCTTTCTCAGCCGTGCAATAGGATATGATTTGGAGGGCAATAAAAACTAAGATTCCTAGACAGCAGGCTCCAGCACAGAAGGCCAAGAAGAACAAAGGTTGGATGGGGAAGATCAACTGCAAAGAAAGGGAGAAAGATATCAAAGTTTTTTTTTATAAATGTAATGCTTCCTGGGAGAAATTTCAATTGTTTAAACATATTTGTGGCATACACCCAGTTAATAACGATCTGTAATTGTTGCTGACAATCTGTAATTGTTGGTAGAGTCGCTGCCCGGCAAGCAGTAGATGCAGGTTCAAATCCTGCTGGTTTAAAGATTTTTCTGACTTATTTTCAATTACAGATCCATCAATAAATCTTTATTTACTGGGTGTAAGCCATAAATATGTTTAAACAATAGATATAAAAGTGACAATGTCATGCTCTGAAATAATCATGATTTCGGCACGTCAATGTACATGTAGAACCAATAAAAAATATTAAAAATATTTAATGAAATCTACATAATGTGAAGATTATATGCTTCTCTGAAGAAACTGACATTAAGTGCCCTAGCTCATATAAAACCCCAGTTCTATGGCCTTGTGAGGCGACCCTGGCCAACTATTTCTCAATAGGTAAATTAATCAATTTGTAATAGCAATAAGCTTATACATGTTTGTTTATTTTTCTGTCATCCCTGTCAGAAGACAAAACACTCTTCTGTTAAAGTCTCATTTCATCTTTCATATACTTTTCATAATCTTTTCTGTATATAGCTTATCCATTTCTGAAATTTGCATTTGCATATTTTGTCATTTGATGGTAAATAATCTTACAGAATTTATATTATTATTATCAAGACAAGATAATATTTTCAATTATTAGAAGCTCAGCTCAGATGCTGTTTTCATCCTTATCAATGCAGATTTTAATCATCATCTATAAAACAGATCTTTCCTATTCATGACACTGGTTGATGATATTCATTAATTTTGCTCTGCAATTAATATCTATTTAAAGGTGACCAGATTATTTCAACCTTCTTTGAAAAATACTTGACTGAATACATGGGCCACTTTTAAAGGCATCATTTAACATTGTTAAATCTGAGATGCAAGGTCCTACATGTTATCAGTGTCTGTGATATGGTGTAATATTGAAGCCTTAACAAATTTGGCTTCAAAATGATCATGTCATTCCTCAAAACAGTAAAAAATCTTTGAGTGACCGGTTTTACATAATCATTTTCCACAATAGACTGTGGTGTTATTAAAATTGTTACAAAAACGCAAAATTTGAATTCGATTTCCAATCATAAATATCTTGATAATCAGACAGGCGATCGGCTTGTAAAAGTCATGGGGTTCCTGACTGACTTAAATGTTTATAATTATCATTGCAGCATGAGCTAAATCCAGGATTGTGTTTTAGAACCTGGTAAAGATACCTGATCCCTTTAATGAAAAAAACACTAAAATTTACAAGGAGTATGAATAATTTAGTTGTTAACCGTACATCAGCTGATTACTTTTAGTGCGGAGTGAAAGAAGATAAAAACGACCAATGAGTAGACTATCTGGAGCCTCGTTCACACAGTGTTCTAAAATGCCTCAAAAGAAAAGTACTTCTGGCTTAGAATATAATTTCTGAGTGCATAAAAAGCTTTTGAAAAGAGGGTGTACGTTTCAGTCATGGAAGTATTACATGCATGCTTGGGAAGAAATATCTTTCATGACATGAGGGGGGTACATCCAACATTTGTGGGGAACAAAATAAGTTATCAGCTTTTTACTAAAGAAAAGCGGGGCGATCACACTCTTTTCCTTCTGTCAACAGGACTGATTTTACATGTAAATGAATGGTCCACTTATACTTATAAGAGCCTCTGTAATGATATTCAGATCTATATTACATTGAAATGATTTCAATTTTCTGTGGAGGTTGTTGTCGCCTTTTTTAAAAATTCATGTATATGACGAACCACAAAATATCTCATGATGCACTTATTACATCATAGCATGAAAGTACTGGTCTAGTGCTACAAAATAAAATCTGAAATATCCTTGAGATTTCCCAGATAATAATCATGCATTGGGAATCAAGTGCTACTGGATAAAAACTTGTTTATTTGCATCTTATTTGAATTCTTCACATGAAGAAGAGGCTACTGCAGTTAGAATGCTGAAGTGTTAGGACCTCTATTACGCTTGATGAAGGCTTTGAATGGAAAATCACTCTGAAGTGTTTATGTGGCACTGTTATTTGATTTCTTAATTTTCAAAATAATAATATTAATATACAAAATTCATAAGGGTGCCGAATCCGAAAAAATAAGAGAGCACATAAAAGCATCTACATTATAAACAAAGGAATAGAAGTAAGATAGAACATACAATAGTGACAGAACAGTTAATTATATGCCAAATTAAACAGATACGTTTTAAGATCATATTCAAACACTTTTAAATGATCTGCTATTACAAATCTCTCGAGGGAGAGCATTCACAGCGAAGGCCCTGCATGGGCAACCTAGTATTGAGCTTAGGAAGAACAAGAAATTCAGACTTCTGTACAGCAGAGCCATGGACACAATAAAATAAAAGCAAAAGTATTTTGAAAACTGTGTGTTCACTCTTGGGCAACCAATGGAGTGCTTTCAGAACTGGTGAGATGTGACTGTGTTTGTTGGAGAGGGTCACTATACAAGCAGCATTCTGTGATTTTTGTAATTATATTTTCACTTACTGGCAGGTCTTTTGTAATGTAGTCACACCCTTATGCACACATTTAATAGAAGTCCCGCATGGAACCTAAATCGGACTCGTTTTTTTAAATCTAATCTTTTATTTTCTTCATACTCCTCAACCATTTACACATACAATCCCGCAGAAAGATTATACAGGTTGATTTTATGCATTCTAGCTGTTATTAAATCTATTTCTGAACCCTTTCCGAACAGGTATTTTTAAGGGTCAAATTAATGAAATTGGCAACAATAAAGGTTTTCTTTCAAATGCTACAAACAAATTTGATAACAAATAATGATTTTGAACCTCTCAAGGTGTTGCCCTTTTAAAGAACTTAAAGCTTATTTTCCTTTTTTATTTTCTTGGGATCAAACACAATATGATATCATGCAACTAAACTGGGCACATTGTGCAGAAATGTTTACCCTTTCCCATTATGTATCTGGTATATATTTTAGGGCTCTGAATCAAAATTAGCAGGGGGCAAACCACAAAATGTGGAATGACGTACTGTCCCAAAAGGGTACCTGATAAGATTTTAAAAGGCAGATACTTACCCTACCCACGATGACAGGGAACGTCATTTCTCCTGTAGCTGCTCCTATGACAATACAACTTGTCACCAAGCCTACAAGATCATGCAAAAAGAATATTGGGTATTAGAGGTAGTCTGGAATTCAACAGAATTATATTTCAGTCGTTCAGTTCACAAGAAGAGTAAATGACCTTTTTCACATTAATTGTAATGCAAAATTTGGGGAAATTTTGAAAATTGGATGGATAGTAATAATAATAATTACAGTGCTTATATAGCGCCTAACCCTTACTTTGTCAGAAGTCTCTAAGCGCTCTACAATAATGCAGCATAATTACCCTGGCTTTAGCAGTGCAGCTGTTACGTGCGCTGCGTTTCAAGGAATAAATTCCTACCAGGTACCCATTTACTTCACCTGGGTGGAGTGTGGCAAATGTAGATCAATGTCTTGCCAAAGGATATTAGTAATTCTTTACAATTTTCATACATGTGGATGTATTAAAAGTACCAGAAAATTTAGCCTGGAAGACACTTCTACTTTCGAGAAAGTTAATAATCAAAAACTTACCGGTGCCCCTGGTAAATTCCAAATATTTCAAATAGCGCCTTAGCTGCGACCATGATAATCTCAGAAAATGTAATTCTGATATATAATTTCCAAAAGGCAATAGCAAATCGGCCGATTGTAGTCAAGAATTATTGTTTTAGAGCTTAGGTAAAATCAGTCTTGAGAGGGTGCTATACAACTTAAACAGTTTATTATTTACAATTTCAACACTTTAGACTTGATTTCAACCGTGACAACAATCACTTAATATTTGATCCTATCTGTTTGGATTTAAATCAATAAAGTTTGTATTTGAATTTGAATTTGAATTTACACAAAACGGATGATGAATAGCAAAAAAACAAAACTAAACAAAACTTACCTGACATTCTGATGTGCTGTTCAGCGTAGGCTATAGACGATGGGTAGATACTACTGAGGAACAGCCCAAAGATACCTGATCCTACATATAGAACAACCAGACTATCCCTAACAAGAAGCTCTAAACACAGCGCCACAAAACAACCAATCTGCATGGAAAGAAAAAATAAGGAGAGAAGAGAATAGACAATAATTATTGATTCATTATCTCTCCTTCATTCATCAATTAATTATTTATTTTAGTGATAATATCTCCTGGTGAAGCAGTCACAAGACTAATATATTCAAGTTTTCACATCTTTTTCTTCTTCAATAACTACAAAATAACCATAATTCAAAGAGCATAATTTAGAAGCAAAAACAACAAATGATAACAAAATTTTGCTGGGGTCAACATAATGTACCTGAAAGATACTGTAAGTCAAATAAAAAATTCTTGTCTCTAACTTGGGACCTAGAAGTATATTTGAAAAAAATTCTTATTTATCCTTAAAATTTATAAATATCAAGCCATTTTCAGTTTTACAAATTTGAACACAGTTCCATTAGAAATATATAGTATTCAAATGAAATAAAATACACAAGTTTTTTTCAGAACAGTCTTAGGACCCGGCAATTAATTAACTACAAAATCAGAATTTGTCATTGAACTTTTAGAATATACATTGTCATATATTTTTCTTTTTGGGATGCATGATATTTGTTAAAAATCTAACGCATTCACAAGTCAAAGAAGAGAGAAAGAGAGAGGGAGAGAGAGAGGAGAGAGAGAGAGAGAGAGAGAGAGAGAAAGAGAGAGAAAGAGAGAGAAAGAGAGAGAAAGAGAGAGAAAGAGAGAGAAAGAGAGAGAAAGAGAGAGAAAGAGAGAGAGAGAGAGAGAGGGGGGTAGAGTGAAAGAGAAGTGTTGCTAATTTGAAGAGGAGAGGCTGGACCATGCTGGCCTCTAGCCTCTCCTCATCCTTGATGTTTGTACATACTAGGCCTTTCATCTTCAACCACTTCATCTTAGTGAAGGACTATGGTGTCCTGCCTGTAACCATCTCAAGTAGATGTGTAACAACTCCTGCATTTTCATCAGCGACACTCGTCAAATCCCTACACTTATTCTTTCTCTAGGAAACCCCGAGCCAAACATACTTTGAATTGAGAATTCAGAGATGTGGTCGTATAAAATGAAAAACCCCAAAGCTAATAGAAGGGTGAGGTGGTGTGTTGGGAAGACCTAATTTGTTGTTCATTGATAATGTGTAATTTAATAGTATATTATCTAAAATAATAATGATAATGATGACTTCTTGTACAGCGCACATGACTCTCACGTCATGAGGTTCCTGGCGCTCAGACATTATCAACTGAGTAATAGCTGGCCGCCAAACATGTAGCGCTCTGGCATATCAGGTACCAATTTACACCTGGGTGGAGAGTTGCAAAAGTGGATGAATTTCTTGGCAAAGGACGCTACTGCCGGGCTGGGATCCAAACCCTCAACCCTAGGATTGAGAGTCAAGTGAAATAAAAACCACTTGATCATTTAGAATGATAAGTCATTCTGATAACCATTTATTTTCCATTGCTAGTCCACAATCTTGTCTCCCTTTTCTTCTCCTTATCCATTGTTGTGCTCTATTCCACTCTCTTGGTTAGAAAATCCATGATATATTAATGATTGATGATTGGTGATTAATGATTGATAACTGATTTCTTTTGATTTTCGATTGGGTATATAAGTCATTATTTGCACAATTCTCTGAAGAGATATAAAATAAAGTACCTATGTCACACTTTCGATAGAAGAACAGGCTGAGGGGGGGGGGGGGGGAAGTGTCTTCAAGAATAAGAAAGGGACAAATATATTCCCCATTTTATGACTCATTCTTAATTAGGCGTGTGAAGTACTAATTAAAGGTTAAAAGAGAAAAATCAATATCTTGATCCAGCAATGTGAAAAGGTTAGCTTTTCATTAAGGTGGTAATTTTGAAGAGTAGGACTTAACCGAGTAAAAAATATCTGAATAGACTCAATATATTATTAATGATAAACTATTGCTAATCATTAATAGGACAATCTCAATTACTCCATGTAGATTGACATTAAAAGCACTTCACACATGTACAGGGAGACATGATTAAGCAATGAACTCTGTCAAACAGACGACGGCTTCACCAAAGTAAGACCTCCCGTGTAATTGTAGGCTGAGTCACCTTTGAAAGATATTACATACTTTCAACATTACGGCAATCTATCTTAAAATAATTTGATTTAGGGGATGATGCTATTGTCTAATGTTAATAAAAGCATTAGAATATGTATGATTAACAAATTCACAAGCAATGTGTAAACTCTTTGGCAATGCATGTTTGTATGAGACTTAAACATGACCTTTTAATAAACAACCTACTGGATTTCAAAACCCATTATACAGATTACCGGCAAAATGGGACCTGAACCATTAGACTCTATTACCACATACATTCTTCAGTTTACAAAATCACAATGGACCAACTCATTTGGAGGGTTTCACTCTATCGGTCAAAATTGCACTTAACAAAGACGAGATATGAAAGGAAGCAGACGCATAATAATCACTACGACTACATGCTGGCTGGAAAATTATTTCCAAATATGCGAGAAGGTTATTCATCAACGGAGGGGGATCAGCTTTTAGTTGTCTTTATGAATGACTCGCTCGCCGTGAAGCAGGTCGTGATTACATTCTCTATGTAATGTCCATTAGATTGCTGATTGGGATCAGGCATGCATGAAAAGCAAGACTCACGCCATCCCCCCCCCCCCCTCGGATAATGAGGTGTATGAACTTTTGTCGTCGTCTGGCTGCACCTCTCTCTCTCTCCTTTTCTCCCTTGTGAATGGCTATAACATGGCTCTGATCAGACCTAATGGCCAGTTTAGATGAGGTTACAGTCAGAAGCACCGGTACTGATTCTCATCAGGCTTTGTAGATACTCTCCATTACAAGCTTGAATAGGTGTGTATGCTTGTAATTAGATTCCATAATTGCATTTCATGGAGTCAATTAAGATCTTCAGTCAAATAATGCTTTCTTTTGGTGACTTTGAGACTGATGCATATTCTAAACTATACACAAGGCCTTTTTCAACATTTTAACAATATTTGACAAATATCTTACATATTTTTACAATGTGTAACCAAAACAAATTTCCATGTATTCCTGTGAATTTGGATGAATAAAAAGAATTGAATTGAATTGAAAACTCTCAAAATTTGACAATTATTTCCTACTTTCATACCGCTCAAATTATAATAAAGGGTTCATCAGGGATTATCCATCGCCATTGATAGAGAAACATTTTGTAATATGATAAAATGACTTACGGGTAGTTAAAACATTACTTTCAAGATACACAAAGAAACATGAAATGAAAATGTGTTGTGTTTTTTCTATACTAAAAGAAATATGAGATGTTACTATCAAACTTTGAACTTGCTGATTTTAATTGTGAGAAGCCATTTTTGTCACATAATGATGAAATATAGAAAAGGCCTACCAGCAAATACATGATTAACATACAATAACATACTCATAACAAGCAATGGTGTCAACTTGAATATACTGGTAGCCTTCTTACAACCACGTGGAAGTTGAATAGTGAAACAATGTCTGCTATTAATTATAGCAAACATTTTTTCAGGGCTATATTATAGTATTAATGACTGCTTTGAGAAAAACAACTATTTCTCGAATATTAAAGCAGTCATTAATACTTTTATATGCAAAAAAAAAAAAAAAAAAAAAAAAAAAAAAAAAAAACTTTTGTCGAAGATGGGATTCGATCTCTTGCGTACTAAAGGTGATGTAACGAAAACCGCCGCCTTAAACTGCTCGGCTATCGCGCTCTGTTACTATACATAGCAGTTTTTTCTTATATATACATTAAAATGGATTGAAAACGGCTTCGCGTGGTGGAAGCTTTGCGGCTGCTCCATTAAACAGGCCCTTCTTTTACTTTTGCAATGCATATTGGCACGAATTTAGATCAAGATCTATCGGCAGATGTTGTTTTTTTGTTTTTGGAAGTTTATTTTCGTCTTAATGTCAACAATGCAAGATAAAATTGTCGGTAAGATCGATCGAGATTCAATTGTATTGAAATTACCGACCAATTCTTCGCACACGTACGGTATCCTCGATCGCTCAGACCATTTTTTAACATGTAAATCTATGGGGTAACCATGGAGACTGACCTATTTTCCCAATAACCATGGTTATTGGGATTTTGAACTGTTTTTTAACCATGGTTACCGGGAATTTTCGGGAACAGTTAAAGTTTATGAATGCAATTTCGACCAATCAGATTGCTGGATTACTTAAGTGAGGTATATAATTCTCCATATATAGGGTTAGATATTGTGTTTGGTCCATAGTTTAAGTTAGGAATACAGTTATTGTAGGAAAAAGGACTGAGAAACGTTTTCTTTTTTAAACATGTGTACCAGTTGAAATTGGCAGTTAATGTCAAAGTTCATGTGATGATATAATAAAGTTTAACATTAGAAGCATGGTGTGGTCAAACTTGTGCATGACAAAAGTCAAAGTTTAAATTGATGCAGCTCTGACCCTTCTCTCTGACAGATTGTTGACTTGTTTGCTTTATTCCCGGTGCCATAAAGATACTTCCAATGCTTCTTTAATTCTTCAATCAGTTGACTACCAAATTCTCTCATACCCATATACTTAATACAGAGACCACACAATTCATACAGGCTATTAGTTCACTGAAAAAAGATGAAAAAAATATGATTTTAAAAATACCCATATACCCATATACTTAATACAGAGACCACACAATTCATACAGGCTATTAGTTCACTGAAAAAAGATGAAAAAAATATGATTTTAAAAATACCAATTTATTTACCAATACCAAAAATGCTTCAAGTGGCTCTCATTTCAAACTTGTATGGTACAGTGGTAATATGGTGCTAATGAGGCAATGAGATTAAGTGATCACTCTTTAGTCTCTAATAAAATAGTTGATTGACTGCTAATTGGGCTATTAAAAAATCAACCGGGGGGGGGGGGCGTCTTATCCCCCCTCCCCCTCTCCTCCATAACATGCCTGCATAAGTTCAGGAGGACCGGAATGAGATGCAGATGGGGGAATAATT